CAAATCTAGGCTGCAGGCCAGTCCTTGACCGCAGGCCAAATCTAGGCTGCAGGCCAGTCCTGGACCGCTGGCCAAATCTAGGCTGCAGGCCAGTCCTAGACCGCTGGCCAAATCTAGGCTGCAGGCCAGTCCTAGACCGCTGGCCAAAGCTAGGCTGAAGGCCAGTCCTGGAACGCTGGCCAAATCTAGGCTGCAGGCCCGTCTTAGAATGCATGCAATCGTCCAAATCTAGGCTGCAGACTGAATCTAGGCTGTAGTGCTGTCCTATGCTGCAGGCCAGTGCTAAGCCGTAGTGCAGTCCTGTACTGCAGGCCAGTCCTAGGCCGTAGTGCAGTCTTATGCTACAGGCCAGTCTGGGCCGTAGTGCAGTCCTATGCTACAGGCCAGTCCTAGGCCGTAGTGCAGACTGCAGTCCTATGCTGCAGGCCAGTCCTAGGCCGTAGTGCAGTCCTATGCTGCAGGCCAGTCCTAGGCCGTAGTGCAGTCCTATGCTACAGGCCAGTCTGGGCCGTAGTGCAGTCTTATGCTACAGGCCAGTCCTAGGCCGTAGTGCAGACTTATGCTACAGGCCAGTCCTAGGCTGTAGTGCAGTCTTATGCTACAGGCCAGTCCTAGGCCGTAGTGCAGTCTTATGCTACAGGCCAGTCCTAGTCCGTAGTGCAGTCTTATGCTACAGGCCAGTCCTAGGCCGTAGTGCAGTCTTATGCTACAGGCCAGTGCTAGGCCGTAGTGCAGTCCTATGCTACAGGCCAGTCCTAGGCCGTAGTGCAGTCTTATGCTACAGGCCAGTCCTAGNCTTCTCCTGCTTGCCATCCTCGTCCCTCTTCTCCTGCTTGCCATCCTCGTCCCTCTTCTCCTGCTTGCCATCCTCGTCCCTCTTCTCCTGCTTGCCATCCTCGTCCCTCTTCTCCTGCTTGCCATCCTCGTCCCTCTTCTCCTGCTTGCCATCCTCGTCCCTCTTCTCCTGCTTGCCATCCTCGTCCCTCTTCTCCTGCTTGCCATCCTCGTCCCTCTTCTCCTGCTTGCCATCCTCGTCCCTCTTCTCCTGCTTGCCATCCTCGTCCCTCTTCTCCTGCTTGCCATCCTCGTCCCTCTTCTCCTGCTTGCCATCCTCGTCCCTCTTCTCCTGCTTGCCATCCTCGTCCCTCTTCTCCTGCTTGCCATCCTCGTCCCTCTTCTCCTGCTTGCCATCCTCGTCCCTCTTCTCCTGCTTGCCATCCTCGTCCCTCTTCTCCTGCTTGCCATCCTCGTCCCTCTTCTCCTGCTTGCCATCCTCGTCCCTCTTCTCCTGCTTGCCATCCTCGTCCCTCTTCTCCTGCTTGCCATCCTCGTCCCTCTTCTCCTGCTTGCCATCCTCGTCCCTCTTCTCCTGCTTGCCATCCTCGTCCCTCTTCCCTGCTTGCCATCCTCGTCCCTCTTCTCCTACTTGCCATCCTCGTCCCTCTCCTCCTGCTTGCCATCCTCGTCCCTCTTCTCCTGCTTGCCATCCTCGTCCCTCTTCTCCTACTTGCCATCCTCGTCCCTCTTCTCCTGCTTACCTTCCCCGTCCATCTCCTCCTGCTTGCCATCCTCGGCCCTCTTCTCCTGCTTGCCATCCTCGTCCCTCTTCTCCTGCTTGCCATCCTCGTTCTTCTTCTGCTTAACGCGATTTTGCACCACAGTATTCCATAATTGTATAAATAATAGAGCCTGGGCAACACCGGGCTAACCTGCTGGTTGTTATAAATTTTGCCGTTGTTGTGATGGTAGCATTATTATTATTATTGCCGTTGTTTTGATGGCAGCATTATTATTATTGTTGCCGTTATTGTGATAGGTGCATTACTATTATTCAGTGAGACGCACGTCGTTGTTGCTGCTAACTAAAATAATCAGGCGCCCTACAGTGGCATGGCAATGGCGTGGTCATCCCTATGCCAGGTCTCCTGATGTAGATGTAGTCCATTCATCGTACAATATCTTCGGCAGGCTTGACATCTGTCCAGTTGTCTTTCCAAGCGATCGTAAGTCAAAGCCGTTTTCTTTTGTTTATTTTGCTGACGATAAATTGAAAAAGAATCATATCTTATATGTGATGAATATGTGAATAATGTAAACGTACATCATTTGTTATAACTCAACGAACTATATTATTCTGAATCCTTCGATGCACGCAACGGTGGCTATCCTCTAAAGCGCTTAGCGCTCGTTACGCCAGCACAAGTTTCACGTTAGGAAGTTACGCTGTAGTTAGTGCCTCCACCGCGGTCAGAGTTATTACAATGACACTAGTCTTAACGGTGCTGTAGTCATGGTCGCTCTATTACGGTACTCTAGTCACGGTCGCTCTATTACGGCACTCTAGTCATGGTCGCTCTATTACGGTACTCTAGTCATCTGAATCCTTCGATGCACGCAACGGTGGCTATC